TACAGAAACACTAACGATTACATAGGAGGAGGAGGAGGATTTGAGACACGTGAACTAAGGTGGAGGCTCAAGGCACCTGAGGGGGGGGGAGGGGTGAATTAAAGTTGAGGTGATTGAAGAGCGAGAAACACCTGGGGTCGTGCAGGTGTACAAGAAAGAGGTTATCTTATCTTGAGGTTATCTTGAGTTCAAGTAAGAGCTCCTTAATTCTATAACATTATCACTCACATGCTTTCTGGGCCGCACGTACTGGAGGCCATCTTGAGGTTATCTTGAGATGATTTCGGGGCTTTAGTATCCCCGCGGCCCGGTCCTCGACCAGGCCCTCCACCCCCAGGAAGCAGCCCGTGACAGCTGACTAACACCCAGGTACCTATTTTACTGCTAGGTACCAGGGGCATAGGCCATGACCATGACCTGGTCAAGCCATGACCAGGAAGGTCAACAGTGGAACATCTTGAGTCTTACCATACCATTCGCCTGGGCTCTAGGAGACCTCAAACCCTGGACCCTGCGTGTGTAGAGGCCGAAGCTCTATCGACCGAGCTATTGAGTGGTCTTAATAGGGAAAGTTTCCAGACGGCAGTTTATCTAGGTATTCGTTTGCCTTGTTCGGGTTGAATGTAGACACAGTAGTCGCTTCTGTATATATTTATTGACCGAGACAACAAGGTATATATCTGGCCAGCCGAGGTCCACCTTACTCTGGGTCTGAGAGAGAACTGAGGCTGCTGGGAGGTCTGAGAGAGAACTGAGGCTGCTGGGAGCATGGCTTGATGCTCCTCTGTCTGGCATGACGTTATCTTATCTTGAGGTTATCTTGAGATGATTTCGGGGCTTTTAGTCCCCGCGGCCCGGTCCTCGACCAGGCCTCCACCCCCAGGAAGCAGCCCGTGACAGCAGACTAACTCCCAGGTACCTATTTTACTGCTAGGTAACAGGGGCATTCAGAGTGAAAGAAACTTTGCCCATTTGTTTCTGCCTCGTGCGGGAATCGAACCCGCGCCACAGAATTACGAGTCCTGCGCGCTATCCACCAGGCTACGAGGCCCCTTACCAGGCTACGAGGCCCCTTCAGAGGCTTCGAGGCTACGAGGCTACGTCAGAGGCTTCCAAACACCAGCATGGTCGGGCGAGGCGAGGCCACAAGCCTTACATCACACCAAAGAGCCAAAGCTCAACCCCCGCAAGCACAATTAGGTGAGTACAATTAGGTGAGTACACAAGACACCAGGCCAATTGATTACATAATTAACCCTGACCTTACCCAACCTAACCTTAATACCTAACCCAAACCAACATTACCTTAATAATCTAAGTTAATACACCGTAAACTAACAATATAAATAATGAATAAGTAGAGTAGGAGCTTTATCGAATCGTCTTGTGTATGATTTCACCACACCCAGTCTTGACTGGTGAGCCTATTGCAGTCTTCACAGTACTGGACACTGTCTTCACAATACTGGACTCTGTCTTCATAGTACTGGACACTGTCTTCATAGTACTGGACACGGTCTTCATAGTACTGGACACTGTCTTCATAGTACTAGACACTGTCTTCACAATACTGGACTCTGTCTTCATAGTACTGGACACAGTCTTCACAATACTGGACTCTGTCTTCATAGTACTGGACACTGTCTTCACAATACTGGACTCTGTCTTCATAGTACTGGACTCTGTCTTCATAGTACTAGACACTGTCTTCACAATACTGGACTCTGTCTTCATAGTACTGGACACTGTCTTCACAATACTGGACTCTGTCTTCATAGTACTGGACACTGTCTTCATAGTACTAGACACTGTCTTCACAATACTGGACTCTGTCTTCATAGTACTGGACACAGTCTTCACAATACTGGACTCTGTCTTCATAGTACTAGACACTGTCTTCACAATACTGGACTCTGTCTTCATAGTACTGGACACTGTCTTCACAATACTGGACTCTGTCTTCATAGTACTGGACTCTGTCTTCATAGTACTAGACACTGTCTTCACAATACTGGACTCTGTCTTCATAGTACTGGACACTGTCTTCACAATACTGGACTCTGTCTTCATAGTACTGGACACTGTCTTCATAGTACTGGACACGGTCTTCATAGTACTGGACACGGTCTTCATAGTACTGGACACGGTCTTCATAGTACTGGACACTGTCTTCATAGTACTGGACACGGTCTGAGGTTCATTATAAATTAAGTAGCACCGGCTTGGAACTCCCACCTAAAAACAAATGAACTTAAAAGAAACTGGTAAGAGGTCAGAGGCAGGCAACTAGACCTACCTTTCCTTGAGGTGAAGACATGATTACGACATCAAATCTACCAGAGATACTTTTAAGGCCCATCATGGTGCAGTCGGTAGAGCATGTGCCATGAGTCTAGGGATGAGGGTTCGATCCCATCGTATAGCCTCAATATTTTCTCTCTGATTCACTCGTTTGTTGTGATTTCTTTATGGAAACAATCTACCATCAAGAAGTATTCAATACGAAACATTTTGGAAGAATGAAGAATGAATATAAGCTGAGATGAGTCATAGAGATGATAGAAGACCACTTCAACCTGACAAACACACAATGTTACTTTAGTAGACAACCGACAGCTTCTAAGGTGGGGGGCCGGGAGCTACAGCTCCATCTTGCAAGCTCGTTTAAGTGAATATACATAAACACACACACACACACACACACACACACACATTAGGCAGTGATGTGGTGGAGGCTGACTCAATACACAGTTTCAAGTGTAGATATGATAGAGCCCAGTAGGCTCAGGAATCTGTACACCAGTTGATTGACGGTTGAGAGGCGGGACCAATGAGCCAGAGCTCAACTCCCGCAAGCACAACTAGGTGAGCACACACACACACAGAAGCACACCCGACGGTTATAACAGGCGGGGCCCAAGAGCTAACAGCTCAAGGCTGAAGGCACAAATGGTAAAGTCGTACACTCCTTCACTGTCTATTGACAATGTAGTTTGTTGTTGCTTTTAGATTCAGCTACTGGGAACAAAAGTTCCAAGTAGCACGGGCTATGGTGAGCCCGTAGTGGACTTACCTTCCACAGGAGCGGGGCTGATCTACTGACAAATCAGAGCCTCATTATGTAATTATTCCAACCAGGTACAGACCAGACAAACCTGATTAACAATTACCTGTAGCGCGGGCATTACAACCAAATAAGCCGTCATTAACCCCAAACAAGAGATAAAGGTCTGCAATAACCTCAATTGTCGTAGCGGGGGCGTTAGGTGCAGGTTAAATGATACAAATGGGTGATTTACACCGTAGATTAGGGTGCCGAGGGGGGGTAGGGGGGGGTGGGAGTATGGGGAGAATGGGAGGGACAGTTAGACTGGTGGGCGTTGCAACCCGTTCTCGCACTTGTTTACAGTCAATATTGGCTTATTTAATAAGTGCATATGTGACATACTAATTGATTGTAAATATTTTAGTTTATCTTGAAAAGCTTCATAGAAAACACAGACCTCACCTAACCTTCTTAGTATGTTAAGATAAGCATCTTATTGCTTCTTAATTACAATTATTACTTAACCTATACCGTTGATAGGTTAAGTAATAATTGTAAATAAGAAGTAATAAGATGCTTATCTTAACATACTAAGAAGGTTAGGTGAGGTCGGTGTTTTCTATGAAGCCTTTCAAGGTAAACTAAAATATTTACAATCAATTAGTATGTCACATATGCACTTATTAAATAAGTCAATATTGACTGTAAGCAAGTGCGAGAACGGGTTGCTTGGGCACATGGGATGGATATATGTTGTTGTTGTTAAAGATTCGCTACATGGAACAAAAAGTTCCAAGTAACACGGGCTATGGTGAGCTCGTAGATAGTTATAAGGATATATGTGTAAACCACGAACAAATTAACACGTGATGAACAATGTGACAGTGTCAGACCATGAAGGAAGGATGAACACAAGAATTTCCTTAAGTACTTTCGTATTTAATAATACATCTTGAGGTTATCTTGAGATGATTTCGGGGCTTTAGTGTCCCCGCGGCCCGGTCGAGGACCGGGCCGCGGGGACACTTCCACCTTCTTCTACGGCCAGGCGATGAGTCACAATAACGTGGGTGAAGTATGTTGACCAGACCGCACACTAGAATGTGAAGAGACGGCGACGTTTCGGTCCGTCCTGGACCATTCTCAAGTCGATTGTGTCACAATCGACATTCACAATCACAATCTCACAATCGACTTGAGAATGGTCCAGGACGGACCGAAACGTCGCCGTCTCTTCACCTTCTAGTGTGTGGTCTGGTCAACATTCTTCTATAGAGTCACTAGCGTAGCACTGATACACATCGTTACCCAAAACTTGAGCACTCTCTGTGATGATTTCTATCGATAAACATTGCAATAATATAGAGTATTCACTATCTTTCTTGAGTGCAATTTACCAAACCAGCTGATTGATCCCAATTACCTCATATTTTAATGATTGATAATTGAGATGGGATACATATTTAACATTTTGATGGACTTGGCCCACCTTATAAAGCCAAAATGATAAATCAACATTCTTTCTTCTATAAACCTCATAATAGAGAGTAACATATTAAACAGCCAATTTGAAATTTCATATGGTGATGAGAGCTACTGAAGGCCTTCGCGCCGAAGACTGCACTCTTGGACAATATTCTCTCACTTATGGCAGGTAATTTGAACTGAGCTAAACTATTGACTATTCTCGTGGACCCTGGAGGCTCCAGGGTAACTTGCATAGCTTCATTTGGCAAAGTTTCATGGGTTTTTTAGTTAGTTTTTTGTATACAGTGGAGAGGGGAAAAGGAAGGAGTGAGGAAAGGAGGGAGAGGGAGAGAGAGGGAGAGAGAGGGAGAGAGAGGGAGAAGGAGAGAGAGGGAGAGAGAGGGAGAAGGAGAGAGAGAGAGAGAGAGAGAGAGAGAGAGAGAGAGAGAGAGAGAGAGAGAGAGAGAGAGAGAGAGAGAGAGAGAGAGAGAGAGAGAGAGAGAGAGAGGGAGAGAGAGAGAGAGAGAGAGAAATGATAGATAGATAGATAGATAGATAGATAGATAGATAGATAGATAGATAGATAGATAGATAGATAGATAGATAGATAGATAGCATGTGTTTACTAGTTGTGTTTTTGCGGGGGTTGAGCTTTGCTCTTTCGGCCCGCCTCTCAACTGTCAATCAACTGTTTACTAACTACTTTTTTTTTTTTTCTTTTTTTTTTCTTTTTTTTCCCCCACACCACACACACACACCCCAGGAAGCAGCCCGTGACAGCTGACTAACTCCCAGGTACCTATTTTCTGCTAGGTAACAGGGGCACTTAGGGTGAAAGAAACTTTGCCCATTTGTTTCTGCCTCGTGCGGGAATCGAACCCGCGCCACAGAATTACGAGTCCTGCGCGCTATCCACCAGGCTACGAGGCCTGGCCCCATGTGTGTGTGTGTGTGTGTGTGTGTGTGTGTGTGTGTGTGTGTGTGTGTGTGTGTGTGTGTGTGTGTGTGTGTATCTGTTACCAGTACACAGGCAACAGTTGCCTGCTGACTGCGAGATTCAGGCAACTGTTGAGGGTTACATATAGATCAAAGTCAATTATAATAATAGGCGGAGACTTCATTAAATCTAACAGTCTTCCTGCCCCCGACAAAGCAAAACAGAACTGATAACTAAACCATAAAATTTACACACACAAAAGCTCTATTGAGAAAAGCCTGGAAAAGCCTGACTAAACACGTAAGGAAACAGAAGGTCGACACGAGACGTAAGGTATTCCAGACAGCATCTGGAATGCAATACTTGGTTATCTTGAGGTTATCTTGAGATGATTTCGGGGCTTTAGTGTCCCCGCGGCCCGGTCCTCGACCAGGCCTCCACCCCCAGGAAGCAGCCCGTGACAGCTGACTAACACCCAGGTACCTATTTTACTGCTAGATAACAGGGGCATTCCGGGTAAAAGAAACTTTGCCCATTTGTTTCTACCTCGTGCGGGAATCGAACCCGCGCCACAGAATTACGAGTCCTGCGCGCTATCCACCAGGCTACGAGGCCCCTTGGTGAGTCCAACGATTACATGCTCTCATAACTGTTAAATTAAACAAACAAACAGCATGATGAATATAGTTATTTGGATATTTGTAATGATCTGAAAGCGTATTACGGTTCTAATAATAGTCTACTGGTGAATCTTTGTCCTAAATAGAGAATATTTTTCAAGTTATAACTTTATTTTATTATAAATCGTTGGTTTAAAATTCTATGGTTAACTCGTTTTCTTTGAAAAGGGAATGAAGAATTGGTTTTTGTGTAAATGAAATTCTAGGAGATAGTCAAATAGTTTTGATTTACTTCATGTTTGCGAATAATACACCGAATTAACATAACGAAACTTAACCTAACCTTAACCTAACCTAACTATGAATAGGGAGTAAATAATAACACTATTTACATAGTGGGTTTGAAGTGATTACCTCCAGGGTAATCTAGGTACCCTCCAGGGTACCTGCTTCCTGAAGACAGGTTCATTGTCTTATAGTCTGATTATGAACTTGTTACAGCTCTCATATTTTCTGGCAAGATATGATTCTTCTTTTTGTATACAGCTCAATGAAGACATTATCTCTCTCTCTCTCTCTCTCTCTCTCTCTCTCTCTCTCTCTCTCTCTCTCTCTCTCTCTCTCTCTCTCTCTCTCTCTCAGTCAAAGGAAGAAAATTAATCTCTATTTCATTCCAAAAACAAAATATATTCTCTTTTTCGCTGTCAAAAGATCATTCTCTCTCTCTCTCAAATGAACCCTTGCACACCTCCCCCACGCCAGCGGTCGACTGATCCCCTCACAGGGCCCCAACAAAACCCACCACTCCAAGACGCTTGGATAAGTCCCTTTACTGGCTGAGATTCCCTTCATCCCCCCACCCGCGTGTCTACAAGACTCACACAGCTCCATTTCCAAATGTTTTCCTTCACAAAGGGCGACCATAGATAGCTCCGAGCTGCCCAAGAACTTAACAATACACACAGAGATCACACTAACGTGATGCATCAAATGAACAAATCCACAAGGGCCGTGCCGACGAAGGCCTTTTTACCCTGTCGTAGCTCAGTTCGATTAAGGCAGTGTCTGGGGATGCTCCCGGAC